CAATCGGTATAAATTTTGAAATGACGCATGTTAATTTGAAGTCCAGAGATCTCATAAAGCGACATGTGACATATATAGTATTTTTTTTTTTCTAAATTTTGATTATTAAATATAGTTAACCCTCTATATAATCGTATAATCGTATAATCGTATAATCGTAATTAAACGTGATATTTATCTCGTTTTTATGGCAGGTTAACGTTAATATCCAATGCCTGCGTAACGATAAATTTAACTAATAAATACACAAGTATACGTACGTACGATTTTTTAAACATATACATAATCCCATTCAATATGCCACAAGAATTCGATTTTACCAATCAAATCAGTAAGTGATATGTAATAAAATTCAATATACGAATATCAGTGAAGTTTTACATTTAATTACATATTTTAAATAGTAATTTATTCTATTTTTCTGTTAATCTTTAATTCATATAAGTTAATAAACAATATCGCACACGCATATTTGATCTAAATCACATCTAAACTGACTTGCAATTAACTCCTTTAAGATTAATGTAAATTATAATCAAATTTTGTATTTTGAGTACTTTAAAAAGAGAAAATAAGTTAACTAGCCCATTGACCACAATTTCTATATTCTTTTAAGATCTTTACCACATACTGACATGGTGATTCTTTCAGCTTTATCATTAGTAAATGTTTTTATGCTTGCAGAATCTTAAAAAACCATTGTCTTGTTTATTTATTTAAAAATTATTTAGCGCAAAATACATATAACATTATGTGATTTGGTTACACAAGGATGATAACAGAATTTCATATCATTTTCAATATCGCGAATCTTTCGTTTTTATTATAAATTTTTCCAAAATGCTTATGGTTCGTCAAATAATTAATATTTTACGACATAGGTAACGGTAACCTACTTTATTTGCTTCAATGCTTATCGTTATAAAAAAAGTGATAATTATCACAAATAAATCTTATAATCTAATAGTAACTAATTTAAAATTCATAGTGTCATATGTACATATATTATGTGAACGATAAAAAAAAAAAAAGAAAAAGAAAAAAAGAAAGAACCGATTCTTTAACGTTAATTTCACATAACGCGGTGTTTTATAATTATCGAAAAAAAAAAAAATCATTATATGAAACGAAAAAAAATTCATTACATGAATTACTGTATGGTAGGAAAAAAAATTCATTAGATGAATCACTGTATGGTAGGAAAAAATGGAAATTCCAAACCATTTTTTGTAAAGAATGTATTTATGTGTGCACTACATCTTGAGTCATCTTGTGAGTTAACATACAATACGTTTGTTGTTCTTGAATCGGAGATGACCTGGAATTTTCTTATGAGGTTGATATTGGCCATTTCCTTATGCTTCTGAAAAAAAATTCTCGGAGAAGGTGGTTGATCACACCACCTTCGAGTGGCTAAAGATGGAATTTTTTTTGCTTCAAAATCTTCGAGAAACAAAAGGAAACGATGCCTTGGTGTTTTTTTTGAGCGGCAGAATTGGTTGAAGGGTAAAAAATTAATTCGTCGACAGTGTGAGCTGCCCGTCGTTGATGAGAGCCTGGCCCAGGTGTGTGTAGGGTGATATCCGATACGAATTGAATACCTCGGCTCTTGCAGGTTTATTTGCCTTGTTCATTTCATAACGATCGTTTTTTTTTAATTAAAATAACGTTATTTTTTACTTGGAGAGAATCAAGTGGGAACGTCGTCTTTAAATAATGAAATTTCTATCATTCCATATACGTATATATATCCCTCATTAAATTAAACAATCTAGTGGTTTTTTCGGACTGAGTATTGTACAACAAGTAAAAAAAAGCGCTAAACAATAAAGTTGATTTAGTGATGATCAAACTTCTGCAAGAGAAAATTTTCATCTATTGCAGTATTGTAAGTGCGTATATATACATTAGAAGAATTATTTATTTAATTTAGAACTACAATCATTTCAGCTTATTATTGCAAACCTTTATTGTTGTATGTATATGTGGTTTCTCCTTTTGCAGAATATCCAAATAATCGCTTCTAAAGTTACGTAGTCTGTTCTATATATAATCTCTACGCAAAAAATAAAACCTGGGTTTAGAAATAAACGTAATTTTTTGGAAGGAGCACGTTGTACAATCATCATATAATCATCATACAATCATCATTTGACAATAGCTGATAGTCGGTATTGGTTCATTAACAAATGATATCTAAAAAATCTCGTTAAAAAATTGCAATGAAACTTTCGATTTGTTAATGACTCATAAAACGGAAAACCTGATTTTTGAGATTTATAGAAGTTGTCAACCAAAAAGGACACAAATGTGGGTCACACGACCTTATGTCACTTCGCACATCAATGGATCTGGTAAGAATTGTTGGCGAAGCTGCATAATTATATATAGATATTGGATGCGTAATGATCAATCAATCATTCATTAAAGTTTTGAGCGAATAATACTAAAATTCGCTGATAATCTGCAAGGTGCATCTGGACATGATTGATCGGAAATACTTCTGCGAGTGATACAAATTAAACAAAAATATATACTATTGGCTGCCAAATCTGTCACGAGTGCATATGAAATTGAATGGTTGATGCATTATTTGATCTATCTTATGATTTCGCTATTTTTGATTATTGTTTGATCCTCTTGATTTACTATTTTGATTTGATGACATAATGAATAGTTTTTTGCGATTAGTAATCGTTAGTAGTTATTTAAGGGAACGGGTTTGTTCCTAAGAAAGGTAATTTCTGTTTTTTCTGCTAACCCGACTTTGTCTGGTTTTTTCGTCCCCCCACCCAACCCTAGTGTGTGACCATTAGGGCATAGCCTGTCGAAATGACAATCATTGTTTAGCAGTTTTGGGTAAATCTTGGTCTGTCAGACGACGGTCAAATTTGAGATTTTTGGTATGAGGTGGCCTGTCGGGACGACAGGCACGTTTTTTTTTTTTGAGTTTAGTAAAGGTGGCTTGTCGGGACGACAGTCACGAAGAACTTCTTTTGCTTTAAAATTCACTAGGATTATTAAGTGCATCAATTGGCAGGTTTAAACTAAATTAGTAAATGCTTTATTGTATTTTTTACTCCATATAGAGTTTCTAAATTATATTAAACCAATTAGGGTAGCTGCGCAACGTGTGACGCCGCGCAGGACCAGTACAATCACGTATGCACGTGTAAATTCGATT